CAGACTTTATCTGAATACATTTTATTATTTATTTAGACTTTATCTGAATACATTTTATTATTTAAAATAGCTGTTTTTACCTTTTAAGTTCATAGGCCAAATTTATTTGTAGACCTCAGTAATTTTCCATTTTGTTTCTGTTCACAGTACGCTCTTTTGGCTGTAATGGGCGCATACGTGTTACTAAAACGTGAATCCTAATGTGTGCAGCAGTTCCTGGGACCAGATTGAAATGAATTCTGTCGAAAAACTAATATATTTGAAATGTTCCACTTTCTGTATAAAAGAAAACCCTGTGGAGACGTTTTTGTCTTGTCCAAATAAATGATTCATCAGTGAAGATGGCTTTCTTTGTGGACTCTGATTGGAATCTGCTCAGTCTCTCTGCTGTTGTGGTAGTCACTTGAAGCCGAGTTTGTGGGACAAAGCCCAATCCACGTGCTATAGTCATAATGTCTGACTTTCAAAATAAATTCCCAGCTTCATCTAGTGGCATTTCTGATGGAAACAAGTAGGCTCATCAAAGGACACGGCTCCGTGTTTATTAAGGTGTCATTTTGTCCATAACTCCTAAAACTTTTTAGAAGGAAGGAATCTGCTCTTGATTTTCTGGTGATATATCTTGAGGTGGTTTGTTCTATTATTTGAAAGTGTTTAATAAATTGGAAAAGCAGTTTGTACACCTTTGAAAAAAACTACAAAAGGGTGAAGGGGCATTTTCCTTTCCATTTCCCAGGGATCTCTGCTGTTAAGTTAGGTATTTGTACTATAGATAGTCCTGCATCTAAGATAGTCTCTTATTCAAATATTTAGCAAGCACTTACATCCCAGCCACTCACTGTCTTCGGTGCTGGAGGTACAAAGTCCCAGTCCTAGTTGAGGTCACAGTGCAGTGGGTGGAAGGGAGAGTAAATCTATGATTTTTAAGTAGTGCTCATTGCTATGAAGGAAGATTAATTGGGGTAAACAGACAGAGGGTGACAGAGATGCCATTTTTCATATGGAGGTCAGGAAGGACAACCTCAAGAGACATGAGAGAGAGTGAGGCCAGTCAGTCCTGAAGAGCCTTCCAGCAAGGGCAGAGCCCTGAGAGGGGAAGCTGGTGGCAGGCTTGAGCGGCGCCTCTCAAGCTCTCCAGAGCATGCAGATCCCTTGATGGTGGCTAAGTAGGTTCCAGCTCAGGAGGTCTGGGGAGGGGCCGCCATTCTGCATTTCTGCCTTGCTCCTGGGTGATGCTAAGGCCACTGGCGCCTACACCGCAAAGTACTAGGGGAATACAAAGGTGGCCAGGGGTGTTTTAAAATAG